GGTTTCCCTCGTATACACAATATATATGTACTCCAACAAAAAGAAAGGTTGACCTGGGTTCTCCACGACATTGGTTATGCAGGCCAGGCCAGGTATAATTATGAAGGGAAAAAAAGTAAGAGACTACAGGAGGGTAATATGGGCTCCTGGAGACTATCATCTCATACCATGAACAAAAAGGTTTACAACGCACCAGTAACGTTGCGTGATATCATGCCACAGACTAGGAATCGTCGCCGTTGACTGGTTCCTTGTTTTAAATGAAATGACTTCTTTCAGTGAGGGAAATTTTAGTCTACGACTGTCCGGCAAGACAAGACCTTGTTAAAGGAAACTGTCGATTATCAAACTTAAACATCACTTAATGAAGAACAAAGTACTTAAAACAGAGAATCACACTCTTTGAAATGATAATGAACCATGTGGCGTGCGTTTGACAAAGTGTCAAGTGCACGGGCCAATAAGAAATCAAAGGACCTAATGTACGTGCGATCCGAGTGCTAAACGCGTAAACGTTTGTGACCAAGTCGCAATCAAATCTAATTGGTCGAGTGGATAACGAGGGTTTTTAAAACCAATCCAGAATACCTTTGGAAATTGTTCTAATGGATGAAGACGAGACCCCGTGAGTTTAACGGGAATAAAACAAAGGCTCGTTGTTATGCACCGATAAATAAATTATAGAAACAGAGCTTTTACCTCTCAGAATTATTTTGTTTACATTTTCCCTCTGCCATCCTTTGATAACCTTCTCGTGAAAGTTAGCGAGATGAATTCGTCAAATGTGTCATCCCGGAAACGTATCCAAACAAACTGGCAGACCCAATCAATGGTTTATGTTGGTAATTATCAAAGAAAGGGTTTGTCGGTGATTATCAAGTAATCGTATGGGTCAATCAGAGAAAGAAGTCAGTTTTTTCTCCTGACAGGGGATCTGCCAGCACAGTCCAAACAAAATAAAGAGATCAGGTTTTTCTCCTGACAGGGGATCTGCCAGCACAGTCCAAACAAAGAAAGAGGTCAGGTTTTTCTCCTGACAGGGGATCTGCCAGCACAGTCCAAACAAAATAAAGTTGATATTAAAGATCTCTTCATGGAGTGTTTAGTTACAAACTGAACGTAATTTTTACATGTTCTTTTACTCTTTTTTTTTTTTTTTTTGCATTATGGATTTTACGGCCTCATTTTGAGCATGTTGAGTGTAAAAAAATGTTTATTTTGAAGAAAATGTTGTAACCCTGATAATTTCTACCGAGTCAGGTTTGAGTTGAACGATGAAATCTGCCGACCTCCTAGTCAGGAAACGCTTTGGGTTTTTCTCCCTCAGGTTATTTAGAATCCTCTGGTGCAAGGCGCCACATTCTGGAAACTTCCGGAAAAATAAAGTTTTTTTTAAGGAGTAGATTGTTACTCCTTGCTATTTCTGGGCCTTTTTTCGTTGGCTAATTTATGATGGCGTGAAGTCAACAAGTTTGTAATACAGTTTGAGCAATAAAAGTTCTGTAGAGTCTGATATGGATCACAAAATTGATATAATTGTAACTAAGCAGTCTGTTGTTTCATTCATTCTTTCCCAAAGTGTTTTCTTTTTTTTTTTTTTTTTTTTTTTTTTCTATTTCATTCCTTTGTGATCGTCTCATTTGAGTCAAAATATTATTAAATCCCAGAAACAAATTATCGATGATCACTGTTTTTGCTGATGTGGGAAATGACCCATTTGGCGAAAATTTGCATTCAATAATGACATCTCTTGGCTTTTTAGGCGCGTCGGTATGTCTACAGGATTAAACAATAATTACCAAAGAGCATCTTGTTATTCTTATTCTTTGGCGCAAGTAATAATGTTCGGCAATTTAATATGACAGCTCCTAATGTGTTCTATTTATTGTTGGCAAGCCCTCACTTGAAATTTAACACTTTTCCTTGGCATCCACCCTTTTTTCTGACACATTTACCACTTATGGAGTCATTTTGCTTTTAATTCGGGAAGTTCTTTGAAGTTACGAACCTCAGGGTCAAATTTTCAATTTCAAAGTTGTATTTTCCGATTGGCGCGTTGTTGAGTCCCAAAGGTTGCCCAAGTGTATTTAGTTTCATAGCCTCGGGCTGCACGGCAGGTTTTATGTCCTTTCACGAGCCCGTCATCCCGCGTCAAGTGTAACAATCACCGTCGAGTGATCAATTTTATAGCCGCCAAAATCATTTCCACTTGGTCAGATAAGAAATTCCGCGGAGCACAAATTGATGACCACGTTTGTGTTAAAAAGTATGACGAATTACGGCACTTTATAGGAGAAATTAATGCGAGGTCGCGTCCGGCAGATAGCTCATGGTGAATTTGTATTTGATTGTTTTACGAAGTAAGGGGTCGAAATGTAGTCATAGCGCAGTTCAACATAAAAGAAAACTGATAAAGTCGGTTAAAAATAACAAGAAAATAAAAAGAACGTTTCAATTTATCTTAGCGAAACACCTTAAATTGAAATGAGAATTCAAATTTCTTATGATTTGTTAGATCACAATTATGCTGCAGGTGAAAAGGATGCCTTCTGGCAGGAAATTGAAGCAATACTGGCTAAAAAAAAGGAGACGATAATACGGAACTTCAATTTACTCGTTTTCAGCTGAACGCTGGAAACTTATTAACCTCCACAAAGCGCAAACAAGTTTTCTTTCTATCATGTTCTGAATATGTATCACCAAGAGCCATAATTATGGCTCTTGGTATCACTTAAATTAACGTAAAAAGTAACTTGAGTACTGCCCAGTCAAACTTCAGATTTATTTCCTCAGGCTTTTCTCTCTCTCTCTCTTTTTTTTTTTTTAATGAAAAAAGCAGTTCGGAGTCTGAGGACACTGTGCCCGTAATTTTTTACGCGGATCACTCGATTGATAACAAGACCGTCTCTTGATTAACACTGGAAATAATGTACACTGTAATGTGCAAGCCGTTGAGCTGATTTCAGAAGTCTTAGCGAACATTTTTGTGTTAAGTTAGGAAAACTCACCCAAGAAGAATAAAAACGTCCTTGCTTCTCGATCTGTTGCTGATTGGTGATTAACATCTAAATCTGCCTCGGCTGCTTAGTTTATGACTGAGTGCACTGACGCTTTTTGATCTCATACTAGTGCCTCATAGGCTTGTGGGTACCATATGAACAGTCATCAGTCAGAACAGTCATCAAGCGCCAACGACACGATGAGCTTTATTTTAACTTGCAAACTCTACTTAGAGGTTTTTCATTGACGGATCAGTTTCAGTAGCTTTTTTCGACGATGTGGAACTAACTACGTGACCATTAACTGAAATGTTGTCAAATTCAGTATGGCTGGAGAAACTTTTAAGAGCAGTGTGAAAAGTGTCGCAGTCATGATCGACAACGTAGCCTAACAATGACGGCGCTCCACTTGAAGTCTGAAACGCGGAACAGTTCGACGGGGCATTTTGTTAGGCTTTTGTTAATACAACAATGCAGTTATGTGGGAACGATCGTGCCCTCTTTATCCCTTCCTACTGTTCCTACTGCTTCCCCCCCCCCCCTCATCCCGAAATTATGTAATTATGTACGTGTCGAAAAGCAGAATTATATGTAATCGTATATGCTTCTGATATCAATCACTGAATTCATCAAAAACGGTAGCTCCTCTCCGGAGCATATTCAGTGCTGCTGCAGTTTTCTCTTCGCGAAAACAACGCTTAATTAATGCCCTGGACGCATCTAAACAAGGCAGTTATTTTTATAGCGATAGCCTGCAGATTATGTTCCTTATTTGAAGCGCATTTAGATTATCGCTTTCTTATTTTAATCGGCTTCGTGCCACTCAATAACTTTTCGTCGTTAAAAGTATGCTAGAAATTTGATAACAAAAACAACAAAAAAATAGTAATTTATTTACTTTTCTGCAACGACGACTGCTGTTTTAAATTCAAGCTTAACAGTCACAAGTTCTGAAACAACTTGCTTCTGAGCTCAGAAGCCAAGAGTTCTTGTGGAGTACCTAAAGAAAAAGATATAGACCTATGGTGTCCATAATGTTTCATTATGTCAAAAATAAACCAGACCAAGGAATTAAAAAAAGTCAATAAATGACGTGAATGTCAAATTGAGAAGATTCTTATTCAAGTCAGACCTATTTGAATAAAGTAGCTTAGCTCAACACATTTGTTCTATCGAACATAAATTAAATTTCTCGCTTTATTTCAATACTTGTGTGTTTGGAGAACTTTTAGTATTTGAAATGTGGCTGCTGTTTTCATTATTTATTGCTCCTTGGCTGATTAATCTTTCCGAAAATTTTATTATGTCTGTGCATTTAAGCCGAAAGTTGAGAAACCCCGTTGTCAGTTTGAGGCTAGGCTCAAGCCAAATGCTGCCCCGGGCGGTTTAGCCGGAAACATACGAACTGACCGCTGAAACTTACTCGGGAAGAAAAATTTTTAATTTTCTTTGAGAGCATAGTGTTATCAAAATGAAATACAGGCGCCAAATTGTTCCTTAATAGTTGTTTGGAGAACAGCATTAGTTCTTTGGGAACGTTGACACGATCCCATTATAAACAGACAAAACTATCGTGATAGGGGCCGTTGTGCCACTGTTAGTTTAATAAAAACCAACGCCTCCAAATAAATCAACACCAGTTTTTAATTAACACTCAGAGATAAGTGTTTTTCTCTTGAGGTAAGAAGTACTCTCTGCTTTTAAATTCTCTCATAGGAATCTCAGAGATCGTACAGTTTCAAGACCTTGACGAGACAATCTCTTTTCAGTTGCCCTTTTTAAACAGATAAACAAGGATACTTTGAGAAATCTTACCTCACCTATGATATAAAATCAAAAAGAATCGCGTGTTCGCCAAAGATTAATTAAAACCACTCGGTGAAAAACGGAAGGGCTTTAGGACTTCAAGATGAGTACTTGGAACGTGTCATATTGTATTACCACTGCTGAAGTAATAAGTTAAAATTCTTTCGCATGAAAATAAGGGATATTCCCTCCAGAAAGATCTGCGTCTTATTTTGGCGAAGCTTAATTCGTGAGTGTGAATTCCTTCAGGGATTAAAAGTTCTTAGTTGGATACAGTAAGTTTTTTCAATCGCAGGAAAAACGTCAAAACTATGAATCATAACCTTGTAAACCCGACTATATGACTAACGGCGCCAAGAGGTTGCAGTTCAAATCCTGAGTTGAAAAAAATTACTTTGACTTTTTCACCTGATGCTTTCTTACCAGTTTTCGCGTGTTTTATATTTTTTTCTGGATAAGTTTGCCTCTTCTTGACTTTCATTTACATTGGATCTTCCGTTACGGCTAGCGCAAATCGAAAAACTGATGAATCTGTCTACAAAGACTTCACTTTTAGTGGCAGCAAAGTTGATAGTTTACATAAGGTGGTAACCGCAGCCGGCCCGCGAAATGCTCTGGAGTTCGGTGGTTAACCGCCTGGCTTTTTTTTGTAGATTTTTTTCAATGGAGACTTAATTACGAGTCACGTAGAAATGCAACGCCAACGTTTTCTTCGGGAAGTAATTTCCTTATCTACGACTAACTAATAAGTACATCAGTTGTGACAAGCGATCAATTAAATCAAGTTTACATGTTACCTTCCATTTATTTTACTACGCTCATACCTGAAGTTTTGACACAGAGCTGTTGTTCAGTTGTTGTTCAGCTCAGCTGTTCAGTTGTTGCTTCCTCCCGTCTTCGAGCCCTGCGATGCTTCTCAAGGTGAAAGATCTACAAGAGAAAAATTGAAATTGTTAGGGTTTCTACGAAACTTTCTTACGTCGGGATAAAAGCTATTCAATGCTCAAAAGCCACTTTAAATTTTTAAACGTCTTCAGAATCTCCACGTCACGGTGCTTAAAATCTTGTTCAACTGCAACCCGCTTCGGGTTTTTAAGGACGGATTCCAAATTTTTCTCTCTGTTAGCTCTGAAAAGTCCCCTTTAGTCTTAAATACCTTAAGTGGCATTTAAACGAACCTCTTTAAGGGCTGAACTTCACAAGAGATTCATTCAGTTTACGCAACATCCCACCGACTTTCTCACTTGTGAGCTCAGTGATTAGACTTGTACAAAGATTTGCTCCAACAGTCGCCAACAGTATGTTGTAATTATGTAAACACCTATCGATATAAATACGTTTAACCCTTCGTCACCTCTGCATAATTAAATGTTTTGTTTATCGTAATGGTGGATAGGTTTTCAATCGTAAGGGTTAACCAGATCAGGTTATGCGACAGACGGAAATGCGTAACCGTGTGGCCGTGGTATACAAACAACTGAATATTGGCAAGGCGAGAGTTGTCTAATGGTTTTCAACCCCCAATTGGAATATGCTTGTGCAGTACATATCATTTAGTAATTTCAAAAATTTATGATAACAATCGAGAAAACGTGAGGATTCGGCCTTAGATAATCCTTTGAAGATAAATTTGAAGATAATGTCGCGAATAATAAATTTTAACGATATAACAAAATTGAACAGGACGTGATAAAATCAGTAATTTTATCCTTCTTTAAAAGATCCTTTGTTTCTTTGTTGACAAATCATTCTATCATAAATTTTTGAACATGCACATCATTTGCCGCACTTACTTCTGGAGCCTGACGAAGGAGCAGCTCTTTGGAGATCCACAACCAAATTTATTATCGTTTTTATACCTGTGGTTGTTTTCTAAAGCAGTTCTAATTTAGCCGACTGAATATAGAATCACACTATTTCTGCAGTGATCGATGTTGAACTAAATCTGCTAAAAAATCTCTGGACAGTCTCAAAGATAGACCTTGGACTTAGCCACTTTGTAAGGTGAAGATCCGGACGGAGGGAGCATAACTTGTCGCCGCGCTAAACTAATTGCACTTTTCTGACAGGGTTGTTTTTAAAAGCTGTAGTCTCATTAATTCGTACTTTCATTATCTTCTTCTTTTGTGATAGCTGAAGTTTTATGAAGTGAAACTTCTTTTTAATGACTTAATTACATGCCGTTTGTAAATCGGTTCCGGTGGAGGAAGGAATCGTTTTCACATCAATTTCGCTCCATTCGCGGGATTTTAATCGATCACAGTTGGGGGTTGTTAGCTTTTAGTTTTTATTCCTGGAAAAATTATATTAAATCTTGATTCTGGTTGAATATGCAATAAAAAAAGCGGCTATTTGATAAGCTCTTTTTCGGTCCGAGCAGTAAGCGAATTATCTTTGAAGTCAAGCTAGAGGAATTTCGACTTTCAGCTGAAAAAAAAAAAGCTGGGGTTATTTTCGAGGTTGATTTTCTCAGTTTTCTGCTGCCGTACCAATACACGAGACTGAAATAGGAAGTGAGTGTTATGAACGAATATCCAGACAGTTCTAAACTTAAATTTCAAGTTTCTTGTATTTCTTTATCTCGTCAGGGCGGCATGATTAAAAATGCGACTTAAAAATGCGCCCTAGGTGTAGAATAACGCGATGCGCGCGATTATTTCCATATATCGCATTTTCTGCTTATGCCAGTGCCGAAGTATTATTTTCGTGATTAGTACTAATCCAACTCGTAGGAATGTTTTTATTTACAGCATATGACCAAGTGACCTCGCAAATTCACTGATAATATTCCCGTTGGCCTTTCTGAGTTTCAATCGGACTGTATTCATAGGTGTCCTAATTCACAGTTGCTTACCAATCAACATAAAATCGCCGTTTAGTTGTGAAGTCAGTTACACCGCAGTTTACATCAGTCTCCATGAGAGCAACGGCCAATTTCTTCTATTGTAAACGGAAACAGAATAATTGACGCACATTTAAGGAAAAACATTGGTCACACGAAGTTTTCCATACTCAACGTCAAACGAGTGTTTTCTACGACGACAATGAAAAAAAAAATTGATTGATTTTTCTAGTACTTCTTCGAACATATATTTTATCTATCTAAGCTCATATCCGCGTATTTGGCACTGTCTGTTGAATGATCACTTCCCGTGAGTCCATTAGCTATTTTTCCGAAAGATTACCAACTCTCTCACATCCGGATAGATTTAGTTTCTTTGTGTTACTTGCACAATAATCTCGAAGTTCAAGATCTTGCATTGTTTAGTTGGCAATATATTTTTTCATTCCATTATCTTATTGCATGAAGAAAGGAGCTGATGTACTCAACATTTTAATGATTTAAATGCAAGACAGCACAACACAGCCACGATGCTTTCTAAGAAAGTTTCCGGCATTCGTGAATCTCATGCAAGGAAATAAATCCATTTTACTTGCTTGCGGGGATCTAGGATGAGTTACTAATGAAGTGTGAAAATTCGTGGCTGATTTTCCAACGAATCGCACCGGCTTGATATTTGCAGGCCGGTGCGACAATACGGTAAGGGATTCCGAATGTCTAACAGCATTAATTAAGAAAAGTAGTTAACTTTATCATTATGCCGAAAACACAAAACGAAGAAAGCTTCATGCAATTACTTCGCGAGTATTTATTTCATTTAATCCCTTACGAATTTCAGAAAAAAACTCTAAATTTCAGTTAATGGTGAAATACACTTAGTTTACATCTATGTAGATGCAATCTGTTTTCGATGGTTTGTGCGGAGGCGTTGGATCATTGTTTTAATGGAAGTCGCCATGATTTGTCGGTCAGTAATTCAAGTCATGATACTCCTTTTAACTAACCGAAAATACCTAATTCAAATAAAGTGAAAGTTTCAAAGAAAAGCCGAACTGAATAAAACTTTTGCGTTTCCAAAGTTTTTTTTTTTCTACGACATGAAAAACAAGGCGACTTACTTTTAACATTGTAATGCATTGTGTGGAAAACCAGGAGAGTTGAATAAATTTTTTTTTAAATTATTTACTAATTAGACTGATAGATCGTGTTTGTCAGTATTAAACATCAACAGTATTTTCAACTTCTATTTTGCTTTTTTATGTTTTCTCTTCTCTAGCTGCACTTTAAAGGTTCAGTGCTATCTCACTTTAAGAGAAAAACAACGTCCAAGCGAAAAGGTCTTCTTTTTCGCAATGACAGGGATTTCGTGACATGTTGTTATCATTTACACACGCGGTGGTCATAATATTTTATTTTGATTAAATAAAATATTATTTAATCAAACATTTAGCCATGATCGACCGCAACATACTCAGTATTGAACTGTTAGTTCTCACGAACAAACAGCACAGAGGTAGTGACCGCGCGAAAAAGCTTTTGGCCTCCGGTTTTTTTCGGTGTGGCTTGATTCCTTTTTTTTTTTTTTTCTCTTGATAAAGAATGACATCTGTGTCTTACGGCTCGACATCAACGTCTACATGTCGGTGGATTAATTTTTTTTTTTTTTATGTACTGTGGCTGGTGATAGGTGAGCTCTGGCGACGTTTTGTCTCGTTGGTCTCCAATCTTTGCTCGTGCATGCTGGGTAAACCAGCAGGAAGGAAGGAGATCGATCTTGGTAAAATGTTTTTATATAAAAGGCTTGTTTACAACAAATCTAATACCCCAGCTGATAGCTCACTAATATTATGATCTAAACACTGCGTCAATTGATGTGTCTCACTGAAGGAGACCTGGGATGCTTCGTTTAAAGGTGTCCTGAGGTCTTAACTGTACTTGGTTTGCAACTTACTGTAAACTGCAGGAACCAAGTGGTGTATAGTTAATTTCGCACTGCTTTTCTTTCTACTTGGCCAGCTCAAAATCGAGATAAGAAGCTTTTGTTGTTGCGTCAGAAAATTAAAAGGATCAAAGGTGCAATCTCAAAATATCTCCGAAGGTCACGACCACTAGCGGCGACATTACCAAAGCCGATTTTAATTCTAGTTGTTCTAAGCGCTTACACCTTTAAACGATATTTGCCCCCCTCAGATCTAAATCATGGCTTTCGTGATTTCATTAACGCACACGAACTTGACACCGTCGATTCACTCGATGAGAAGAAGGGGTTCTTTCCTAATTCCTTGTGAAATGAAAGTGTTTAGGTTCTAAGTTTTACAGTACTGTTTCGGCATTCTGGGCCTCATCAGTGCAGTGCTGATGATAGGATGGGGGAGAACCGATATCATGGATCCCCAAACAATCCCACCGTTGTGGTATCGTCTAAGCCATGCCAGAGTGCTCAAACTAGAAGAGCCTAGTGAGCAATGCACAATGCTAGCGGCAATGACTTATCCCACAGTGATCAATTTGGACATGAAAGCAGAGCTTTATATGCCAAAGAGCTATATTTATATCGATATCTATTGGTGTCCGCGAAGCAGTGCTCGATACAAATAGCAGAGCGGGTATAATGTGTGGTAGGCAGAAAAAAGCAACTACCCATACATCCCTACGGACCTGTTTC